CTGAGGAAGGGTCACCGGACCTGAAACGTTAACTCTGTTTTCTCCTCCACAGATGCTGCCACACCTGCTGAGCTTTTCCAGCAACTTTGTTTTCATTCCTGATTTAGAGCATCCGCAGTTCTTTTGGTTTTTATGGTGTTTCTTTTTATTTTCTAGTCGATAAGTGACTTCCACAGTGTGTAAAGACAGTGTCCTCTAATCTTTTATATCTTTATTTGGGAACTAAAATTGGAAAAAGAGCTGTTTTAAAAACCAAAGTTTGTTGGAAGATGGGCTGCAGTTTTCAAAAGCAAATGACCTGACACTCATTGTAAGCACTGTTTGCACAGCTGATTTATTGAAGTGTAGTTTGCAGATGAGTTGGTGCTAAGGGGCATATACAAATGGCGATTCAGCCAGTAACAAGTAGCTGATTGGTCTGTGGACTAATGATCAATTATTGATCACAAAGGCCTTCTGCCTGCCAACAACAATGTGATTGGTTCTCAGGAAGCTGAATTGCTTGCAGCTGTGAACATGACAGTGAGAAGCCATCAACTCTCCACCAGCCCAGGCGGTCTCTCTGTTCTCTAGTGAAAGCCACCTTCAGCCTGAAAAAACTAGTTTATTTTTCCTTCAGCTGTTGCCATAGGCTGTGACTTATAAATATTAAGTCAAATTCCTGTTATAAGTACAATCAGCCACCTTATGACTCCTGCAAACCAGTGAAAGTGGGGAAGGAAGACCAAGAAGCAGCGTTCTGATCAGCCAAAGAACCATCTCAGCTGATCCTTTGCACCAAGGCCACTGAACTGCTTTCCCAGTTTTTCCTCCATCCATAACATTTATGTCCTTTATATCCTGTGTTTGATTGCTTGTATATGTGTGAGTGTAAGGGGGGACTTTATAAAGGGGTTAGAGTTTTAACCAGTTGAGTTATATACTGATAATTCATGACTATTTACCTGTATTTAGAGCCTAGTTAGTTATAACAAGTAGTAATTCTTGCTAAGTACAGAAACCTAATCCGTGCTTTATGCCAACGTCTAAAAGATAGGTGAATTAGGGAATTTTGCATATTTTTAAAAATCTTTAACTTTTGCGATGACTACAGGAATAGCAGGGCTTGATTTTCATTATGTTACCACAGTAAGGCATAACAAGGACAATATTCTATTTTAAAAAGAGTGTAATTGAGTTAAAATGACATAATGAATGCCATATTCATGCGCTGGTATCATAAATATTTATTTCCACAATCAGGATTTTACTTGAGCTGCGGATACCCCACCACATAATTCTGATGTAGGTAAAGGTACCAATCTTATTCTTTCATTAGAAAGAGATGACTTGTGGTGAGTTTAACCTGAGGGTCATCACATTTCAGGTGAGGTTGAGAAGGCAGGGCCTTCATGGCAAACTCAGCCAGTGTAGGAATTGTACCCATGCTGTTGGTATTAATCTATCTTGCAAACCAGCCATCCAGGCAACTGAGTCAATCGACCCCCAAGTGTAAAGACCAGTGGCAGTATTGAGCACATCTTGAAAGAACAACAAGAGCAGGATGGTGGCTCAGTAGTTAGCACAGCTGCCTCACAGCGCCAGGAAGCTGGGTTCAATCCCACCCTCAGGCAGCTGTCTGTGTGGAGTTTGCACATTCTCCCTGTGTCTGTGTGGATTTCCTCCCACAGTCCAAAGATATGTAGGTTAGGTGGATTGGCCATGCTAAATTGCACAAGGTATCCAGGGATTTGCAGGCTAGGCGGATTAGCCTTGGAAAATGCAGGGTTACAGGGATAGAGTAGGGGGTTGGGTCTGAGTGGGTTTTGGAGGGTTGGGGTGGACCAATATGCTGGATAGCCTGCTTCCACACTGTAGAGATTCTGTGAAGAGTGGGATTTGAAATCATGAGTGTTGCAGTCCATGGACTCCCATGTAGACATACAAACTTCCTGCAATGATGCAGTGGCACAGCTGAAGCAGCTTCTAAAACATTTGTCCCAACATTTATATCATAATAATTCATGCCAACCTTTTCATCTTCTTTAGAATTCATCTTATCAATAAAGATACACAACTTGCCAGTCCTAAATATTTTAAAATACTGAAAGAGTGCTAAATATTTTTATTTCTCCTTTGCTATTGAGAATGTTATTGAGGCTTATAGTAACTTACCTGGCATGTCTTTTCTCATCATCTCTAGTCAACTCCGCTACATAACCCTGAAGGTAGTTCTGGAGTTCATCAAATGTTCCGACCGTTTGATTGAATGTTCTGTAACATATAACAACATAGATGAGAAAACTCACAATTGATTCCATTGCTCTGAACCTACTTGAGAAATATCGATTGACAAAAAATACAAGACCTCCAAGACGTTCGACAGCTTCTGCTGGAACAACCAGAGTCAAGACCAGGGGAAATTCAGACTGCATAAATTTAGAAAAATATGTGGACATTTCGTTATTATAAAATATGGATAAAGTAACACTGGTACTTCCTTTCTAAAAGGAAGGGATTAAATTCATTTATCTCACAGAATTACATGAGTGTTACGGCACAGAAGAAGGCCATTCGGCCCGTAAGGCCTGTACCGGCATTTCAAAGACTGTGTGACTCACAAACTCAGGTCTCAGAGAGAATTATTATCAACAGACTCTGGGCTCCATCCTATCGTTTACTCCCTAGCCCACCCACCTCCCTATTTTCTGCATATAAACTGACCTTTTCCCAGCCACCATCAGTTCTGAGGAAGGGTCACCGGACCTGAAACATTAACTCTGTTTCTTCCTTCACAGATGTTGCCAGACCTGCTGAGCTTTTCCAACAACTTTGTTTTTGACACTAAAACATTAACCACTTATATCAAAATGCTGCACAAAATGGCTTCACTTTTGGTATTACTTTAAGCTTGTTATTTTTACATCATTTAGAAAAAAAAGTGGCAGTGCTCTGAAAACAAAATAAACAACATTTCATACCAAAAACTTAGTCAGTAATACTAAGTACATTCCTAATTTTATATTTGTTCCATAAAATTAACGATAGCTGCAAGCCTTGCAGGAAAGTTTACAATTCTCAAGGAACCCTCATTAACCAAGCACTTTAAGTGCAATTGTTTATTTGTTGTTTTGTGTGCATTGTACTTTCAAATTATTTGACATTACTTGGAATAATTACGCCTGTGTGCTAAGTTTTACAACATTATATTACCATGTATCATAATTCATCATGTTTCAGTTCATTTGAGAAAAACGTTTACAAAATTGAGGCATTGACATTAATGACCATGTCAGCCTTTAGTGCTCATACCCTGCTGGACTTTGAGGAGCTGATGGTGAGATAACTTTCAGAACTGCTGTGGCCTTTGTGGCAAAGTTGCTGCCACTTACAACTAACATGCTGAAGGGGTTTTCTCTAAAGTTGCGGTTATTCAACTAAGATGTTAGTTAACGGACACTTACCCTCTGTCTATCACAAGGCATTCCACATTGTTTTCATCAGCAATTATATTAGCTGACCTCACATCATCACTGCGAAAAATAAAAGATCAAAAGCATTTAGAAACACGTCAAACACTGCTTTGAAATACACTGAGAACTTAACTCTTGTGTTTTCATACAGAATAATATATGCACAGAGCAAAGCTTTCTCACACGCATACAGATATTCTTAGATAGTCCAGATTGTTAATTTGTTTAATTAGATTTTCAATTCTCTGCGATCAATTAATACTTCAGGTAGCTCTCCATAGAAAGGATGAATCTATGCGTAAATTTATGTCGGTAAACTTGTCAATCAGGTTCCCAGCAAGATTACAAGCCTAAACTGAAGAAGGGGTGACAGCAGTTTCCATATTTTCTGAGGCTTATTTCCAGTGAATGTAGCTCCCTGATGGGAATGCAAAATCTGTGGATTTACACACGAGGGAAGATGCTGATAAGCACTTTGAGATCTGCAACATGGGAGCTGTGATTTACTTTTTGAGCTTTTTCCATCCCTTTCTGCCCTAGTACTTGCATAGTGTGGTGGTAGTTGTCGCAAAAGAAAGGTATCCCTATCATGGACTGGGTCCAGCCTGAGCTGAGGGAGAGATTTATGAACTCAACCACTGATCCAGAAATAAGGCCAAGGGGATTTTGTGTCTCAGACCTCATTTAAATTCCAGTCTGGATTGAAAGTGGTAGATAATTGTACAGCTCAGAGGCTGCTCAGCAAAATCAGGTGAGTGTCGGGATCAGATATTGGTGCAGTCTCTCAATCAAGGATAGGGGAAGCAGTCAACATGTAGGAATACAAAGCTTTCTGCCTGGAGCCCAGAAGTGTGTCCATACATCCAACACAGAAAGTAAAAAAGATTGGCCAATGTCCTTCTGGAAAAATGATGCCATAGTCCTATGAGTGGACATCCTTACTATTTATCCAGTCAAGCAAGTGCCTGGCCAATTCAATTACCCTCTTGTCTGGTTTCCCCTGGTCAGGAAAAGTTAACATCATTTTATAACAGCAAGGCTAACTGAGGCTAGCAGTAAACATTGCAACAGTGTCAGAAGCACTGCTGGTACAAATGCTACTCATAGGATTACCTGAAAGCGGACCATTTTTTTTTCTGTCTGAAGGGCTCATACAAATGAACAGGTTTGTGACAAAATGATTCCAGCATCCAGTATTTTAATAACCATTTCACAACAAACTTTTCAGAGTTCAATTTTGCACCACTGTGGAAAACTGATGTCACAGATAAATACCAATTTTAGACAGATTTTTTTTCCCTTCTATTGAGTTAAATGGAAATTAGGCAATTTCCACAAATAACAGCTGTATACATGGCTGGAAAACAGAAAATTAATTTCAATAAAACATATTTTAGATGATCTATGAGTTGCTGCTTGAATATTGACATTTAACAACTGTCAAACTGTACATCTTACGATTCATCTTCTGAAATTGTAGTAACAGTATCTGTTGCTAATGTGCCAGGCATTTCAGGATAGTAAGTGCTCTATTTTCCTCAAAAATGGTTGCTGAGTTAAGACATTTATTTTCAGCAGTCAAACCTGATTAGAGCTTTTTCTCCAAAGTAATCTCCTCTCTGAAGGACTTTGATCAGCTGAGGCTCTATATGGTATTCGGTGCTCTGTGTGACTTTCACCTAAAACCAAAGATAAAGCTGTCAGAGATTTAGAAAATCATGCTCACAAGCATCACTCACAGAACCAACAATGACTAACTTTTCAAAGTCTTTGAGGGTAGTTCTAACACACAAAGGAAGATCAAAATAAGCAGGGAACCCAACCCCAATCCATCTTCAATAAACCCAAAGGAGGTGGATCAAGGACTAATTAATTTTACTTATATTAGAAAGGAGGCTGCAAGCCTCCATATCAAGTCAGGTTACAGAAAAACTGTATTGGAAATAGCAACTGCCAGCTGTCATTCGCCTGAGCACTGCCTCATTAAATCCACGCATTAGTACTCACAGAATGTGTAAAGTGGTGATCAGTTGGCTCTCATATTGTCAGAACAAGAATCTATGGGACATGGAATTGCTTTCACCCCTAGAGGCTAATTATTCGCTAAAGTGCCTTTTGATGACAGGGTGATCTAAATGGTTGAGCTTAAGAGAATTGGAAATAATTTCAGGTACGCAAATTGTATTCTTCTGATCAATATGAATTATTTGCTAGTTATCCTTAATCAGGCCTTGTAACTCTACTGAGTTGGGTCCCCTACTCTGTTATAAATTACCTGTCCTTCACATACATTATTTCAATTATCTTTACTGCTTCAACTAATATTGGCAAAGAGCGAGTTTTGTTGAGTTTCATAGAAGATTTCTCTCTGAGAGGCCTAGAATTTCAAATCGTCCCAATCTCGACTCATTATGTACTATGCCTGTGGCACTCCTGATTGTCCCACTCATCGAGGTGAAAGTATCCACCACAGATGTGATAATCTGGGATCCCTGGCCTGGGCACCATCTTTAAATGGTCACCATATACCTGATCAAGTGCTGTCAGTCCAGAGCCAACAGACCACAAAGATCCCTCTGAATTTAAACATTTCCCAGTCTCTCACCAATAAAAAAAGTCTGTTTTCTGTTTTCTGTTTTCCTACCCAAGTGGATAACTTCAGATTTGCCCACATTGTGTTCTCATATGCCATAAGCTATTTGCCATTCACTCAATATGTCTATGTCCTTTGAAGCCTTCTACATCCTCCTCAATGTTTACTTTCCCATTAAATATATATCATCAGCAAAGTGCCATACAATACATTTGTGCAGGTGTCCCAAAAATGTTATAGTTCTAGCTAACGTAAAGTAATGATGATGCTGAAACTTCCTGTGGGCAAGAAAGGAAGCTACTCAATCCACAACTGGTTTCAAAGTGTTCTATAAGCAGTAGCAGCATCAACATGCCAAAGTAAATCCTACGGAGACATGGCAATTGGCAATCTTAACTCAGTACCTTATCTTAATGTGGGGCACAGAGTTCCTCTGTTGTACTGACAAGGTACCCTTCTTTACTTAGGGAGCCTAACTGATCAAAACAATTGGGTGTGCGTAGACTGAGCAGAGTAACACCAAGGGTAGAAGCAGCTTTGTAAACAGAAAAATTCCGTTAAGACAATAAAAGCTTTGATTTCTGCTTTCAAAAATGTGATTTGTTATATTAGTGATTATTAAAAAAAACAGACTTTAGCATGCGGGCAGTACAATGTGCACATGTGTGTAACCAGATAAATTGTGATGTGACGAAAGAAAATGATCCAATTGAAAGGATACTGTGTGGGAGATTTAATGCTTTTAAAACATCAATTTGTTAGCACTTGGAGCTACTGTTGAACTATCTGTGTAGAGAAAATCTGATGTAGAGAACAACATTTGCTTTGCATTGACTAAACCTACACACAATTCAAACTGAAATATATCACTAAATCTACCGACAAAATTCAGGACATCTAGAAATCTAGATGTTACAAAATGTTTAACTCATGAAAACCACAAAACGCGTGACATTTTATAGATTCTAACCACGATTAAATGGTTTAATAAATATATGTTCTCCATTGTGTTTTCTTGGACTTGATATTTGTTTCTACTTGCTTCCATCACCAGAGAGTTGGGCTCAAAATGCAGACTTATTCATGCCTTAAGCAGGTTTCTACCCCAATGCCTGAATAGTTGGCAATGAATGTGTCCCCACTGACCATGACCATTCATTGGTTGGAGATGGATAGGATTTTATGTCCTTTACTCAGGCAGAAGTCCTGCCTCAAAGAGCTGATTGGCCAGGACCTCATTGGTCCCAGGAGCACTGGGGCAGCAACAATCAGAACTGGGGCTAGAAGTAGCATCCAGTTTCTAAGTCCTGGAGTCCAAGAATCAGGAGGCCATAGTAAGGTGTGTGTTTGAGCGTGTTATGTGTCTTGATGGTGAAGCCACAGGGGAGGGAACACAGAGGGGAAGGGAGGACAGACCTGGCTGGCTGAGAGTTGGGGATGCCGGGAGTTATGGGACACACCTGATGTGGAAAAGGGATCCTTAGGGCATCTTTTATCCCATTTAACATGCAAACGTTCTCCTCCAACCAGCTTCCCAATTGTGTGAACTACTGGGCCCAAATTGTGGCGAGGGTTAATGTCCCACCCAAGGCCTTTTATTTGCCCCTGTAACATTACAGACTGGTCAATAGGGGGTGGTGGAGGAAGGAGGGCAATAAGAAATCCACTTGTGAAAATCTGGGAGACCATTAAATTCTCCATGTTAAATAGAATAGATTCCAAACAGATCTAACAACCTGTGGCTGCTGACTCATGAGGCACTGGGTCATAAGCAGCAGAATAATTGTACTCAATCATAATCCACGGATACATATTCCCCACCCCACTATTGCCAGTAAACTGGGGATCCGCTCAAGATCAATGGAGAGTGCAGGAGGGCATGCCAGGGGCAGTACCATGCAGACCTAAAAAATGAGGTGTCACCTGGTGAAGCTGCCAAACAGGATTACTTGCTGAACTAAGCAATCAACTACAAGCGATTGACAGTTTCATAACCAATCAGTTCTAAACTCTGTGGCTCTGACACATTCAATCACAAATAGTGATGGACAATTTAACAACTCAACGGAGGAGAAGGCTCCACAAAAATTTCCCACCCTCAATGATGGGGATTCCAGTACATCAGTGCAAACAGTAAGGCTGACACACGTACAACAACCGTCAGCAAGAAGCATTGACTAGATGATCCATCCCGGCCTTCTCCAGAGGTCCCCAGCGTCACAGTTACCAATTTTTTGGCCAATTCGATTCAGTCAATGTGAAATCAAAAGATGGCTGAAGACACTGAATAAGTTATGCGTCATGACAATATTCCAGCACTAGTACTGAAGATACATGTTCCAGAATATATCTCATCTCTAGCCAAACAGTTCCAATACAGCTACAACGCTGCCATCTTGCCGACAATGTGAAAAGTTGCCCAGGTACATCCTGTGCATAAAAGCAGGACAAAAGCAAAACCGGCCAATAACCATCCCATCAGCCTACTTTCAATCATTGGTAAAGTAACAGAAGGTGTCATGAAAAGTGCTGTCAAGCAGCCCTTGCTTAACAATAACTGGCATGTTGATTTCAATTTGAGTTTTGCCTAGGTCATTTAACTCCTCATCACATTATTGCCCTAGTTCAAACATGGACAAAATTGCTGAATTCCAGAGAGGAAATGAAACTGACTGTCCTTGAAATCAAGGCTACATGGGAAGTAGTGAGGTATCACGGAGTCTTTGCAAAACTGAAGTCAATGGGAATCGGGGGGAAATCTCTCCACTAGTTGGAGGCATAGCTAGCACAAAAGAAGATGGTTTGTTGGAGGTCTGTTATAAGCTCCAGGACATCATTGCAGAAGTTCTTCAGGATAGTGTCCTCAGGCCAACCATCTCCAGCTGCTTCATCAACTATTTCCCTTCACATTAAGATTACATGTCCCTGACTTGTACGCTGATGGTTGCACAACTTTTAGCACAATTTGCAATTCCTCAGATACTGAAGCAGTCCACGCCCAAATACAGTAAGACCTGGATAATATCCAGGTTTGGAATAAAAAGTGGCAAATAACATTCACACCACAAGTGCCAGGCAATGACCATTTGTAACAAGAGAAAATCTAACTATGTCACCTTAATATCTAAAGGCATTACCATCGCTGAATCCCCCACAATCAGCATCCTGGGGTTGCAAGAATTTGATCTGGAGTAGCCAGACAAATACAATGACTACAAGAGCAGCTTAGAGGAAAGAATCTTGCAACAAGTCAGTCACTTCCTGACTCCCCAGAGCTTGTCTACCATCTACAAGGTACAAGTCAGTAGTGTGATGAAGCACTCTCCACTTGCCTGGATGAGTGCTGCTCCAATGAAACTCAAGAAGCATGAAGAGATAACACAGTGTGGAACTGGAGGAACACGGCAGGCCAGCAGCATTAGAAGAGCAGAAAATTTCAGAAATGAAGAAGGGTCCCAACCCGAAATGTCAACTTTCCTGCTCCTCTGATGCTGCCTGGCCTGCTGTTTCCTCCAGCTCCACACCTTGTTATCGCTGATTCCAGCATCTGCAGTTCTTACTATTTCAAGAAGCTTGAGACTATCCAAGACAAAGCACCTATCTTGACTAGCACCACATCCACAAATTTCAGTCTTTCCACCACTAATGCTCAGTAGCAGCAGTGTCCACCACTTACAAGATGCTCTGCAAAAATTGACCAAGGCACTTAAGACAGCATCTTCCAAACCCACAACCACTTCCACCTAAAAGGACAAAGGCAAATAATACATTGGAAATCCACTTGCAAGTTGACCACTCATATGCTAATATAGAAATATACTCCTGTTCCTTCAACGTTGCTGGGTCAAAATCCTGAGTCTCCCCCCTTGACAGAATTTTAGGTGTACCTACACTTAATGGCAGTTCAAGAAGGCAGCTCACCACCACCTTCTCAAGGTCATAAGGAATGGACAATAAATGCTGGCCTTACCAGCGACAGCAACATCCCATGAATGAATAACGAAAAACAGAGATGTAGCACGGTGCTAAAAATGGAACATTAAATTTCTCTTACATTTTGAAATGTATTTTATTTTTTGAAATGTATTTTACTTTGAAAGTTATTTTGTTTACCAATGTAACAATGCATAACATTTCACCTTTCAGAAATGTAATGCTTTAAAAAAGAGTTTTCTGATTGGGAAAGCCTTGCAGAATCCAACTTGAGTTATAATATTAATTCCGCTGGAAATTAACTTTTCACTTGAAGACATTTGACTGAATGTCTTCAGGAATGCAACCACAATGTTAACTGAGGACTTCTTGTTCATGATTATAGTGCATGTCTGTACCCACTCGGTTGAGATGGTTAAAAAAAAATCAGAGCAAAATCATATTGTACCAGAGATCTCCTGGTTCTTTAAAATATGAAAGGCATTAACATATAAATGCAAGTTGCTGTTTTGAGGCTAAGGGCTAGAAAAAGGTTTCAAATGGATCATGACTTTAAACTAAACACATTAAAGTAAATGTTTCTAAATAATTTGATGATCGTGTTTCTTTCTACCAAAATAAAATGCAACAGTGGAAAATAAAATGCTTAAATAGTTGCTCTAACTTAAAGAAAAATGTGCTATAAATGCATAGGATACCATTCGCTGTCAGAAAAATAAAGCTGAATTAATACTTCAAGGAGGTGCCTTTATCAGAAAACTTATTTCAGAGAATGTACAATTCAGTGCAAGAATATTGAATATTTTGTCCCCTTTATGCTGGAGACTGACAACTTAATAATTTGTGATTTACAATCTTGCCCATTAAACTGAACCAATTCTGTCTATGAAATATTTAATACTTTTTTCCTTCCTGTCTTTAAGAAAATCATGTAAAATTCATTGATTTTTTTTAATCTCTTACTAATGATAAGCCAACATGCACACTGGAAAGCAATAATCTGATAATATCAGGCTACCAGATATAGGGTCTGACTAATACTCTGGATTGAGGAAAGTGTATTTGTAAATGTGGGTTTTGCCTCCAGCAGGGTATTTTATGCTATTCTTTGTAATATGAAAAAACACGTGTGGATAGCATTAGCTTTTAAAGGATCCAAAAGCTGGCCATTATATAAAATTGTTACATTCACAGATACTTAAGTATCTGGGTGAGTGTTAGGGTATTCGGTTTCAGTAGAAGAGCATGTTTCAGATAACGTCATGCTTCAAGTGATTCGAGTTAAGACGGAATATGCAATCTTTATACCCTTATATAACATGTTATGATACATAGGTGATTACATAATAAGGATGTCTCTTAAAGGTATACTGTGTCTCTTAAAAGTAGCCATGGTGTGAAGATTCTGGTGTTGGATTGGGGTGAACAAAGTCAGAAGTTACACGACACCAGGTTATAGTCCATCATGTTTATTTAAAATCACCTGACAAAGGAGCAGCGCTCGAAAGCTTGTGATTTTAAATAAATCTGTTGGACTATAGCCTGGTGTTCTGTAACTTACGACTCTTAAAAATATACTGACATACATAATACTACAGGAATAGGACATAATTTCCAACTGAACGCATCTACTAGGATTAAATATCTTACCTTTCCCTTCGCCAAGATGAAGAAGGTACTACCTTCTTCACCTTCCCGAATAATGTAATCGCCTTTATCATAGTATTCCTGTAAGAAAACAAAATCTTTTGTTACTCACTCCATATCTGCCATACTTTCAATGTTAAAAACAGTTTGTATTATCCGGGTCTGAAAAGGTTAAAGTCTGGGGCTGTCTAAATAGTACCTCCCAAAGTGCTGATATAAATAACAAATGCCAGAGAAACTTGGATAAGGCTTCATCATGGCTTCAGCAGAGTAAGACATGCATATGCAAAGTGTACATAGTTCCTTAATGTTTATATAATTGTTACTGTTTAAGCCTATTGGAGGCCCAGTAATACATTCAAAATTACACTATTATTACACCGATAAAAGTTGCTCCTGGTCCCATACCACCAACACAGCTTCACAAGGCAAGTGGCTTATCATAAAAGTGAGGGTGTGCATGCAACCTTTCAATAATCCACTTAGTGCCACAACTTCTTGCGGGTGATATGAGGTCTTGGCATTCACTCACACAGTTTTCTGTTCACTACACAAATGCAGGATCCCAACTGTCTGGCAAGAGCATGAACACTTGAGTTCTGTAATTCCTAACCCTGGCACAGCTTAACTGGGTCTCAGTCATTTACAGGAGACAGATCTGCAGAAGCTCACAAAATTCAGGGTGCACATGTATCTTTCTTTTTCTCTGTAAGATTAATCTTAAGAGAATCTTTCACCATTTTATAAAGTTTCATTCGCCACTCTGTCCTTAAATTTATTTTGCTTGCAGGATTGAATTTATCTTCCTGTGTTTTCTGTTGCCCATGTTTGAAATAGAATCAAGTTCTTCTCCTTGCCAAAATTGCCTGTTACAATTTCCAATTAATTCCCTTCCCCAGGCTGTTACAACTTGTCATTGACCTCTTACCATCCAGAACTCATTTCCTTGCAGTGCTGAATTTTCTTGCAGAGCACCAGTTATTTGTGTGATATTTCCAAATATTGAGCAAGATTTGCCAGGGAAATAATATTGCATTTACTATTCCTGCCACTATTTCTGCATGAATTGTCCAGCAATTTGGGTAGAAACATCATCATTGTGAATTGTTGTGAATTTTTGTGAATTGTTAGATGATTTGTGCCACTCCACTGTTTGTCTCACAATAACAGGAGCTCCTTGGTCTCCATGAGTTTCGAGGAAGTGCTATATTTGCCTAGTAAACATAAATTAACTTTGTCACAATTATGGCTGATTATTAACAGTGCAAAGACATTTAGTGATGATATCTAGGTACGTTATGGCAACTTAAAATCTCTGACCAAAATATTTGTTGAGGTGGGGAGGATACTGAGGTTTGGATGGGACAGTGTATGGGCAGAAAACTGATTAGCTCAAAGATCCAGTTTGGATGCAACAGCAAAGCCAGAAATGGCAATTAACTGTTCTAGACTTTGATTTAAGCCCATAATTGAACTAATAATGTACTGACAACAAACATGAGATAACCGAGATTTGTTGAATTGGATGAAAATATTACAGAGGGCCAACATTTTGCCAGATTTTCTCCTGCCTCCATTACTGTTAAACATTCCTCCAAATTCCTGCTCCACAGGAAATGGAGGAAACTGTAAAACATCTTGAAAAGTGTTCACATCTTCAGCTTATGGCTGGATGGGCAAGGGCCTAGATGTAACCTATCTTCCCACATTCTGGCCCAAGAAATGGTGAATGGAATTGGCAGACCAGAGCAGGGGCAGAAAATGTGGCAGCCTGAAACTGTGAGAATGGTGAAACCACCATAGAAGTGATGTTGTGAAGGTGCCAGTGTTGGACTGGGGTGGACAAAGTCAAAAATGATATGACACCAGGTTATAGTCCAACAGATTTATTTGAAATCACAAGCTTTTGAAGTGTTGCCCCTTCGTCAGGTGCTCTCTTCTCACTGCACCTGATGAAGGGGCTGCTTTCCAAAAGCTTGTGATTTCAAATAAACCTGTTGGACTATAACCTGGTGTCGTATCATTTTTGACTTTGCCCACCACAGAAGTGGCATCAATGGGCATCTTCAGCTTTATATTCCATCTCTCCAGGAGTTTCTCTGATTACTACATTCTAGAGATAAGGACAACCATGCATAAATAGTAAACAGATAAAGATATCCTTTCAGTTGTTTCAGCGGCGGGATTCCGGGAGGAAGCGCGAGGGCAGCCTGGGAAGGTAAGCTTCCACCCAATAAATTTGGGAGTTAACTAATACCCGAGACACTACACGCGCAGTGTCTCCCACCCTTCCACCTCCTCTAACCTAATAATAATGACTAAGTGTGGTGAGCAGGTAAGCTATTTGCATTTTTTTTTCCCTCATCTCTTTGTTATCTTTTGGGGTGGTCACCTAGACGCCAAATCCTCTGGGAGCGGGTCGGAAGGCAAAGCCGGAGTCTGTTTGAGTATATAACGGAGTAAACTTATTGGTGCAGCGAACACTGCGAAACTAAAATAAAACTAATTAATTTTAAATAATTAACTAAGTAGAGATGGCAGGCCAGATGATGTATTGTAGCTGTATGATGTGGGAGCTAGCTGATCCCATTGAGAACGGCAGTGACCACATCTGCAGCAAGTGTTGGCTGCTTGAGGAGCTCCAGCTCAAAATTGATGAGCTGGAATCCGAACTCCAAACACTGCGGCACATCTGGGAGGGGGAGAAATACCTGGATACTGTGTTCTAGGAGGCAGTCACACCTGGTAGATTAACTAAAGTTAATCCGATCAGCGGGCAGGGACGGCAGTGTGTGACTGCGAGTGAGGCAGGTAGAGGGACCCTGCAGACAGGAACACAGGAGCCGCAGCCTTTGACATTGTCCCACAGGTATGAGGCACTTGCTCCCTGCGTGGATGAGGAACAGGGCTGCAGGAAGGATGAGTCAACTGACCATGGCACCATGGTCCAGGAGGCCATTCAAGAGGGGTAAGCAAAAAGACAGATTGTAGTTTTAGGGGATTCCATCATCAGGGGGATAGACAGCATCCTTTGCAAGCAGGATAGAGAATCCCGCATGGTGTGTTGCCTGCCCAGTGCCAGGGTGCGAGACATCTCTGACCAGCTTGAGAGGATACGAGAGAGGGAGGGGGAGGATCCAGTTGTTGTGGTCCACATAGGTACCAACAACATAGGCAGGACGAGGAAAAAAGACCTGTTTCGGGATTATGAAAAGCTAGGAACAAAATTAAAAAACAGGTCTTCAACGGTCATAATCTCTGGATTGCTGCCTGAGCCACGTGCAAATTGGCATAGGGAGGCGAGGATCAGGGAAGTAAATACGTGGCTAAAAGAGTGGTGTGGGAAAGAGGGTTTCCTTTTCATGGGGCACTGGCATCAGTTCTGGGACAGGAGGGATCTATACGGCTGGGATGGACTCCACATAAACAAGGCCGGGGCCAGTGTTCTGGCAAAAAGGGTAAATGGGGTGGTTAATAGGACTTTAAACTAGTAAGTAGGGGGGAAGGGAGAAGTGAGTGTAGAGGGAGAATAACAATTAATGTAAGGCAAAACAGCAGGTTAGCAGGTGACGAGGATGCTTCAATTCCATTGAAATTTAGGAAAAAAGTTAAAGGGAAGGAGAACTCAACAGTTGTTAGAAATAGAGGTAATAGGACCCAAAAAGAAGGTGCAAAAACTGGCATAAGGGCACTTTATCTGAATGCTCGGAGCATTTGAAACAAGGTGGATGAGTTGCCGCTGCAAATCATGGCAAATGGGTATGATTTAGTGGCCATTACAGAGACATAGTTACAGGATGGTCATGACTGGCAGTTAAATATCCAGGGGTATCAAACTGTTCGGAAGGACAGACAGGAAGGTAAGGGAGGTGGTGTTGCTCTGATTTTTAAGGATGATATCAGGGCAGTAGTGAGAGATGATAGAAGTTCCACTGAACAAAACGTTGAATCCATTTGGGTGGAAATTAGCAATAGCAGGAAGAAGAAGTCACTGATAGGCGTGGTCTATAGGCCACCAAATAACGACATTGTGGTGGGGCGGGCAATAAACATAGAAGTAGCTAATGCATGTAAAAACGTTACAGCAATTATCATGGGGGATTTTAATCTACATATCGATTGGTCAAACCAGGTCGGTCATGGCAGCCTTGAGGAGAGGTTCATAGAATGCATCCGTGATAATTTCCTTGAACAATATGTAATGGAACCTACGAGGGAGCAAGCTATCCTAGATCTAGTCCTGTGTAATGAGACAGGAATAATTAATGATCTCACAGTTAGGGATCCTCTCGGAAGGAGCGATCACAGTATGGTCGAATTTAAAATACAGATCGAAGGTGAGAAGGTTAAATCCAGTACCTATGTCCTGTGCTTAAACAAAGGAGACTATGAAGGAATGAGGAAGGAGTTAGCTAAGGTAGAATGGGAGCAAAAACTTTATGATGGGTCAATTGAGGAACAGTGGAGGACTTTCAAAACAATTTTTCACAGTGCTCAGCAGAAGTATATTCCAGTGATAAGGAAGAACTTTCGGAAAAGAGACAGCCAGCCATGGATGTCTAAGGAAATAAAGGAAAGTATCAGATTGAAAAAAAAACACATACAAAAAAGCAAAGATTAGTGGGAAACTAGTAGACTGGGAAATCTTTAAAGGCCAACAGAAAGCCACAAAAAAAGTTATAAAGAAAAGTAAGATAGATTATGAGAGTATATGAGAGCTCAGAATATAAAAACAGGCAGCAAAAGTTTCTATAAATATGTAAATCGTAAAAGAGTGGCGAAGGTAAACATTGGTCCTTTAGAGGATCAGAAGGCCAATTTAATAACTGGAAATGAGGAAATAGCCGAGATATTAAACAGTTATTTTGTGTCGGTCTTCACAGTGGAAGACACAAATAACATGCCAAAAACTAATGGCAAGAAGGTTATAGCAGGTGAGGACCTAGAAATTATCATTATTACTAAGGAGGCAGTGCTGGGCAAGCTAAAGGGGCTAAAGGTAGACAAGTCTCCTGGCCCTGATGAAGTGCATCCCAGGGTACTAAAAGTAGTGATGGGGGAAATAGCAAATGCACTAGTAATTATTTACCAAAATTCACTGGACTCTGGGGTGGTTCCCGCAGATTGGAAAACAGCCAATGTGACGCCATTGTTTAAAAAAGGAAGTAGACAAAAAGCAGGTAACTATAGGCCAGTTAGCTTAACTTCGGTAGTGGGGAAAATGCTTGAATCTATCATTAAGGGAGAAATAGCAAGACATCTGGATTTAAGTTGTCCCATTGGGAACACCCAGCATGGGTTCATGAAGGGTAGGTCATGTTTAACTAATTTGGTGGAATTCTTTGAGGACATTACTTGCATGGTGGACAATGGGGAACCTGTGGATGTGGTGTATCTGGATTTCCAGAAGGCATTTGACAAGGTGCCACAGTAGAAAGCAAAGAGTAGGGGTAAATGGGTATTTTTCTGGTTGGTGGTCAGTGGCTAGTGGTGTGCCTCAGGGATCAGTGTTGGGACCTCAATTGATTACAATTTACATAGATGATTTGGAGTTGGGGACTAAGTGTGTTGTGTCAAAATTTGCAGATGACACTAAGGTGAGTGGTAGAGCAAAGTGTGCAGAAGACACTGAAAGTCTGCAGAGAGATATAGATAGTCTAAGTGAGTGGGCAAAGGTCTGGCAGATGGAGTACAATGTTGATAAGTGTGAGGTCATCCATTTTGGTAGGAATAACAGCAAAATGGACTATGGTTTAAATGGTAAAAAATTGCAGCACGTTGCTGTGCAAAGGGACTTGGGTGTCCTTGTGCATGAATCGCTGAAGGTGGGATTGCAGGTGCAGCAGGTGATTAAAAAGGCAAATGGAATTTTGTTTGCCATTGCTCGAGGGATGGAGTTTAAAAACAGGGAGGCTATGCTGCAGCTGTATAGGGTCCTGGTGAGGCAACACCTGGAGTACTGTGTGCAGTTTTGGTCTCCTTACTTGAGAAGAGATATACTAGCACTGGAGGGGGTGTAGAGGAGATTCACTCGGTTGATTCCAGAGTTGAGAGGGTTGGATTATGAGGAGAGACTGAGTAGACTGGGATTATACTCATTGGAATTCAGAAGAATGAGGGGAGATCTTATAGAAACATATAAGATTATGAAGGGAATAGATAATGTGGAGGCAGTGAGGTTGTTTCCGCTAGCAGGTGAAACTAGGACTGGAGGGCATCGCCTCAAAATAAAGGGAAGCAGATGTAGGACTGAGGTCAGGAGGAACTTCTTCACCCAAAGGGTTGTGAATTTGTGGAATTCCCTGCCCAGTGAAGCGGTTGAAGCTACCTCACTGAATGTTTTTAAGGCAAGGCTAGATAAATTTTTGAACAGTAAAGGAATTAAGGGTTATGGTGAGTGGGCAGGTAAGTGGAGCTGAGTCTCAAAGATTAGCCATGATCTTATTAAATGGCGGGGCAGGCTCGAGGGGCCAGATGGCCTACTCCTGCTCCTGGTTCTTATGATCTTATGTTCTTATTGTCTTAATACTGAACTGCAATTCAACTAGAATAAAATACTATGAACAGTTTTAGAGTACAGCATACAGTGCCAAAATGTAAAAGGAAATTTTTTGGATCCCTGCATCATTTTGCCTCACTGTGCAAATGCGTAGGGAACAAGCGTTGGAAGAAGACCTGGGATGGAATTTTACACAGAGGCAGCGGCAAGTGCTCACCTACATGATCGGAAAGGTCTGCATTGATGTCACAATTGTGAGACTTTCCAGTGAATGTGGACTGGTTAGCTCAGTTGGTTGGACAGTGGGTTTGTGATACCAACAACATAGGTTCAATTCTCACACCAGCTGAGGTTACTGTGAAGGACTCTCCTTCACCCATCACCTCAGGTACAGAGACCCTCAGGTTAAACCACCACCATTGTTTCTTTCTAATATGGGAGCAGCCCAATGTATGATAAGACTATGTGACTTTACCTTTACTTCAGAGACCAAAATGCATTTGGTCAAAATGACCTGTTACTATTTGCATTTTCAGACATACATCATTCACAAAAAAACTCACATAACTAATTTCTATCACAAAAACCTACACTTGTGTGTTTTTTGCCCCTTAGAGGAAGATGCACTCATATTAAAATGAAATTCAACACTGTCCTTAATTGTTATCATGCACATTCCATTTGTATTGTATTGAAGGCTGACATTATTCAATTAAAGCATTTTTAGTTGAGGAAAAGGACATACATTCCTAATAAGGACACGTGTCACCCTGCTATAGGCAGGTTATTATTAAATCGAAGAGGGTGCAAAAAGGATTTACATGGATGTTACCGGGAATGGAGTTTTTCAGTTATAAGGAGAGGCAGGATAAGCTGGGACTTTTTTCAATGGGGTGTATGAGGTTAAGCGGTGACCTTACAGAGTTTTATAAAATCATGAGTAGCGTAAGGTGAATTACAAAGGTCTTTGCCTTAAGATTGAGAAGTTCAAAACTAAAGGGCATAATTTTAAGGTGAGAGGAGAAAGACTTTTAAGGGCCCTGAGGGGCAACTTTTGCACACAGAGGGTGGTTCGTGTGTGGAATGAACTATCAGACGAAGTAGTAGATGCAGATACAGTTACATTTAAAAGACAATTGGACAGGTACATGAACAGGAAAGGTTTCGAGTGATATGAGCGAAACACAGACAAATGGGACTAGTTTAGTTTGGGAAGCTTGGTTGGCATGGACGAGTTGGACTAAAAGGTCTGTTTCTGTGCTATGGTTTAATAACAGGAAAGTTTGGATTAGTTCATGACTCCAGATCCCTTAAGTATCCAACAGTCCTCCAGTCATGTTTAGTCAGTCACCTTACCACCGTTAAGATGAAAGAAAATTAATAATTAATAGAAATGTGAAACTTTTATTTAAATTGGATTTTCATGGCAAGGGTTTTACTAAAATGCATTCAAAGGCTGAATAATCCTGGAATAGTAGTGGAGAATATAATAAATCACAATTTCTTTCAGCAATGTTTTTGATTTTATATCTACATTTCTAAACCCTAATGTGCTGAATTTACTGCAACCTCCATATCCAATACTTCTGGATTAACCAATACTATTTTGAAATAAAGGTGAGAAACAGAAGGGTTTGATGAGTGACTGCAAGATATTTCCATTATTTCTTTTCCGATATATAACTTACTACTTCCAAGCAGTCCACTATCTTCATGAGTTTATCTTCTGGTAGGTTCTTAAGCAGAGAAACACTAAAGAAATGTATGAAACATAAATCATTAAAAAGCATTACAAAAGACCAATTGCATGAATTTGTCAGACAATTATTACTGAATAAATTCTGTATAAGCCACTAAGCAATTGTGTGATCCTTTGAGTCCTCTAAATTACTGTTCAGGATCAATTTATTTTCATAAAACTGTGCAATATAGCTGTTCACATTTTTTGAAATACAAAACAGATACAGGGACTATAAATCATGGAATTTGAGAGGAAGCAGAGGAAATGTGCTTTTCATTTTGGTAGGGAACTTGTTCAGATCTTTTTCTTTTGCAAGGGAGAGTGAAAAAAGTATTTTCATGGATCACAGACTGGGCGGAAAATCTGTTGCAGTGAGAACATTAAATTGAAAGATTTGAAATTATTCAGATGAAATCAACAGGTAAGTACTGTTTAGAAATGACTAATGTGCAGGTTAATCCTCTCTCAAATGATGCAGGGACTGGCCGTAAGTGTTAATATGAGCTTTCCTGATCACACTTTCAACTTAAACTATAGATCATGAACACCTCAGTGTCCAGGTCAATATTTGCTTTTCAATTAAGACTTAAAAACAGATTATCTGGCCACAATTACACTGCTATTTGTGGAATCTTGCTGTGTGTAGTTCCAACATTATGTTTGTGCCTGCATTTCCACAGCATGCACTGATTGTAAAGCATTTTAGAACTTAATTCTGCAATACATGCATGCACACAATGTTAACAAAGACACTTACCTTCTGAGAAAGTTTCTGTACTGATCATGTCTGGCCTGCGCAGTTCCTCTCATAATATTCCGGAAGACATCTTGGTCCAGTACCCAAGTTTTGATGCTGCTTAAAGCTTTAGGACACAACAGAAGTAAATGACAGACACTGTTCAATTTACTGTTCTTCTCAAAGCTAACAACCTGAATAAGCCTCTAACTATGGATTTGACTGATGTCTGAAAGCATTTTTCCAGTGGACCACGTAGGCTGCCGCTTTTGGAAAGGTTATGTGGGGGCTGCCCAGTGAATTTAATGACCCGGCCTCATTAATATTGAGGCTGAAGCAAGCAAGTACAAATGACTATCCATAAGTAGCTCACGCAGTATTAGCTTGTGAGTAACGGGCATCATGCAGGCCATTCAGCTGGCACTTGAAGTATGTTGCCAAAGGAATTCAAACAAGTTAAACAAATATGGAAAGATAGGTTGGGTGGAGAGGTTCCAGTGTGATAGCAGCAGCTATTCTTTCCTTGAGGGGGAATATATTGTGGCATCACAAATAATGTTTTATTTACTTGTAGGCGCCTCTTGCTTCTTGCACTCAGTTTGCTTTTACTGAGCAGAATGTAAATTCATACAATCCACTAGCAAAAACTAAAATTTAATGCACTTTGTGTATCTTGTCCTGGATGAAATGGTAACTAAAACTATCCTAAGAAAATATGAATATAAGTTCAAATTTTCAGCTGAATCTAAGAGAAGTCAGGTTGTTAAAGTGACGGTAAAAAGTTAAATGGAATGAGTAATACTGTTGTTATGTTAGTACATCACACTTGCATGCAAAACATCTGGCCCTATGCGGGGAAGTTGTTAACAGAATGTAAAGGTCCTTTAAAACCAGCAACTATGTGCTAGAACTACTCGTTAATCAGTTCTAAAGAAACTTTACAAAATTTTACAGTAAGAATTTTGCAAATGCTTTTGTTCAAACAGCATCATTATTATTGGATATTAGCATCTATAAACACTTACATTTAGTTAAATCATTAATAAGAGCAGCCGATTTTATGAGTATACGGTAATTTTGGCATCAAACAATGGTTATGAATTGATTTTGCTTTGTTGTTGAGGTTTGTGATATTGATCAATACTTATTCATTATTCTACATCTAAAATTCCTCAGAATTTCCTTAAGACTGTTCTGAGGGGGAGGATCAAAGGGACATATAATGCCATTTTTAATATGGTTTGGGAATTAACCTCCTAAGTAATATGCCTTCACATATAAGTTTATAGCTAATGGAAAGAAAAAAATAACATTTATTTATCCCTCCATAGTAATGACCTAACAGACATACGTAGAAAAAGGAAGGCTGCTTCCAGAATAAGTATGGACACAAGTTAAATATGTTAATTGGAGGGTTCAAAGTCTTGAACAAATGATTAAGCAAACAAATAAAAAACTGAATGACTAAACAATTGTTTCATTGCACTTTAAGTAATGGAAGGACTTTACCTTTCACAGAGGCTGTCCTTGTGCAGTTATATAAAATCGCAAGTTCACCAAATGCAGTCCATATACTGATAGATGTTAAAATTTTGTTGTTTTGGACGACTTCCAATTTTCCCTCTGTCAAAATAGATAAAAGTAAGAATATTATAAACAAAAACAGAGAGAATAAGATTTGATGCAAGAAATAATATTCCAGTGTAGCAGGTTTACCCAGTATATATCCTAAAACTGTTTTAGAATTTTAAATGATCTTAATCATTTTATACAAATATAAACACTTGGGTTTATTGTTCACCTCATGATACCTCAAAGTGCTTTGTAGTAAATGTGCATTGCCAACCTGCAGCAGGCTGCAAATTCCGGTCAAGGAGGCTGGATTGGAAACTAAGTAGGGAGGCCATGCCAGGGACAGTATAATTTTATAATACAATAATTTTATTATACAGTAATATGGGTTGTTTACCACCGGCAACTCCTGCCCACCTCTCCGTTTGACAGCATCTCCCTTACTGTCCCTGCCATGGCCTCCCTACTAGTTTCCAGTTCAGTCTCCTTGACAGGAATTTGTGCCCAGTGGTGATACTGGAAGCAGTTTGATTGACTGGCACATCTGTGGAGGCAGGGTATCTTCCCACATGGGGGCAGAAGTCACAGCCTCAAGAATTAACAGCCTGACAACCATACAACCCAGTCACAATTTCCAGTCCAGCAGACACGAGTTCATCCACAATTTTTCATTCAATGGGCAGACCCATTGCCTCCATGAGCAGCACAGCCCCAATAATGGGACTTGAACCCACTAACGTCTGACTCTGAGACCTGTTTTCTACCAATTGAGCAACTATTGCCACTGCTGCTCAATAGGAATATCAAATAATGGTATTAGATGGAAAGGAAATTAAGGCTATAATTCAACAGACAGCTAACCAGACTGTGTAAAGTTAAAATTATACCCATTACGTTATTGTAAAACATGTAGCCAATTAATATTCTTTATCTAAATGTAGAAGCCATGGCTCAGTTGGTAACATTCTTGCCTTGGTGTTGAGGTTGTGGATTTAAGCCACACTTCAGAACTTTGATGAAAAAATTCAGGTTGACACTCAATGCAGTGCTGAGGCACACTGCTCAGAGGTTCTGTCTTTCAGATTAGTTGTTAAACTGAGATTCTATCTGCGATCCCAGGTGGACAGAAAAGATTTCAGGACATTATTGCAAAGAGGTTAGCAAAGTTGCCCTGGCCAACAATTATCCTGCAACTAACATAAAAGCAGATAAACTCATTAGTTATTCCCATTCTGTTTGCAAAAGCTTGCGGTTCACAAAGGTTTGCAATGCTACAACATTGACTACACTGCAATAAAAAGCACTTAATTGGTGGTAAAGCACTTTGGGACATCCTGGTTTACAAAAGAACTTTTTTTATAAACTGAAGTCTTTTATTCAGTCCTATAAATTTGTGTCAGATTAGAAGAGTTTTAGTTCTTCATCCTGATACTCATGTCTTTATATCATATAGGACTTTTATAAATTTAGCCTGTTGGAAAGAGATACTGTGAAATAGTTGATCTTTTCAACATGTGCAGTAAGGAGACCTGTTTATAATTTTGCTACAAAAAACCAGATGGGTTTCTCAGGGATATATATTTCAGGAGGTTTTCCTGAAATGGAGGGCAGTAGTGGACCAAAAATAACATGAAATGAATTATCCCTGCTTTCACTGTGGATGTCTGACATTCTCCTGGGCCTACTGGTGTAGAGACAGAACACCTGCCTGAGACGAGACTAAAGGCTCCAATTAGCATTTTAGGAAAGCACTGGGTGCAGCACGTGTAGAAAAAGCAGCTCAAGGGTAAGATTCACTGTGATCGCGTGGGGCTATGAGGAGCATGAATGCTGCAAACCAACCTTGGCCACTATTGCACTGGTATACCTCTCCCACTCACCCTTCCTGAGACCAGATCTCTCCCCACTCCAACATTGCAGTTCTACAGTCCTACCTTTGTCATGTCTGGAGGCTAACTGAGTCAGTTGATAATGTCTCATGTAGAATCATAGAATCTCTACAGTGCAGAAGAAGCCATTTGGCCCATTAGGTCTGCACTGACCCCCTGAAGAGCATCCAACCCAGATCCACCAGCACCCACCCCATCTCTGTAACCCCGCATTTACCATTGGCTACTTTTTGTCATTTATATAAATGATTTGGATGCAAATAAAGGAGGAATGGTTAGTACGTTTGTAGTGACACCAAAATTGGAGGTGTAGTGGACAGTGAAGAAGCTTATCTCTGAATACAAGGGGACCTCAATCACTTGGGCCGATGGGCCAATGAGTGTCAGATGGAGTTTAATTTAGATAAATGTGAGGTGTTGCATTTTGGTAAAGCAAATTAGGGCAGGATTTATACACCTAATAAAATCCGAAAGAACTGCGGATGCTGGAAATCAGGAACAAAAACAAAGTTGTTGAGAAAGCTCAGCAGGTCTGGCAGCATCTGTGAATAAAAAATCAGAGTTAATGTTTTGGATCCGGTGAGCCTTCCTCAGAACTGGTGGTGGCTGGGAAAACATCAGTTTATATGCAGAAAATAGGGAGGTGGGTGAGGTAGAGGGTAAACGATAGGATACAGCCTACAGAGAGAGAAGAACAGTTGGATAGACAAAGGATCTGATAATGATCAGGCTGGGAAGGTGAATAACTGTTAATGGGGACCACTAGTGACTAACAACAGGTAGTATGTAGTGGCAGTCTATGTGATAACAAGGCCTGGTGTGTGGGGTAAGGGGCTGGGATATGGGAGAGTTTAGGCCCTAAAATTATTGAGGCTTGCTGCAGTGTTCCAGTGAAGCTCAACACAAACTGGAAGAACAACACCTCATTTTCCGCTTGGGGACCCTGCAGCCGTCCAGGCTCAATATCGAGTTCAATAATTTTAGGGCCTGAGCTCTCCCCTGCCCTAGCCCCCAACCCTACCAGTTCTGATGAAGGCTCACCGGACTTGAGATATTAATTCTGTTTTTTGCTTCATTGATGCTGCCAGACCTGCTGAGCTTTCCCAGCAACTTTGTTTTTGTTTATACACCAAAATGGTCGGGCCCTGGGGAGTGTTGCCAAACAAACATACCTTGGGGTGCAAATTTATAGCCCCTTGAAGGTTGAGTTGCAGGTGTGCAAGACAGTGAAGAAGGCATTTGGTATGCTTGCCTTTATTGGTCAGTGCATTGAGTACAGGAGTTGGGAGGTCATGTTGCGGCTGTACAGGACATTGGTTAAGCCAATCTTGGAACACTGTGTTCAATTCTGGTCTCCTTCCTACAGGAAAAATGTTTGAAACTTGATAGGGTTCAGAAAAGATTTACAAGGATATTGCCAGGATTGGAGGGTTTGAGCTATATAGAGAGGCTGGATAGCATGAGGCTATTTTCCCTGGAGCATTGGAGGCTGAGGGTTGACCTTATGGAGGTTTATAAAATCACGAGGGAAATAGATAGGGTGAATAGCCAATGTCTTTTTCCCAGGGTTGGGGGGGGTACAAAACTTTAAAGCATTGGTTTAGGGTGAAAGGGGAAAGATTTAAAAGGAACCTAAGAAGCAACCTCTTCACACAGAGGGTGTGCATGTATGGAATGTGCTGCCAGAGGAAGTGGTGGTAGTGGGTACAATTACAACATTTAAAAGGCATCTGGATGGGTTTATGAATAGAAAGAATTTAGTGGAATATGGGCCAAATGCTCACAAAATGGGGCTAGATTAATTTAGTGTATCTGGTTGGCATGGTTGGGTTGGACTGAAGAATCTCTTTCCATGGTGCACAACTCTATAACTCTACTCCACCTTGCCTGCACACTATGGGACAATTTAGCATGGCCGATCCACCTAGCCTGGACATCTTTGGACTGTGGGAGGAAACCAGAGCACCTGGAGAAAACCCATGCAGACACGGGGAGAATGTGCAGACTCCACACATACAACCTGGCTGGAATCGAACCCAGGTCCCTGGCACTGTTAGGCAGCAGTGCTTATTCCTGTGCCTCCATGCCGCCCTCCTGCCCATGTCAGCAGCTTTTCCCAGGGTACTCATTCTCATCGGCAGCCTGTCAGCTGAGCGTTATGAGACCGGATGGCCCTCAAAATGGGTAATCGCAAGGACCAACACTGCTGATTGGTTTCCCAGAGTGTACCGCCATGATGTTACGGTACATAATGACCAAAGTAATTCTTCCCTCACTTTAAGAGCTGTATCAAGAATTTTCCAAAATTCCAAAATGGAGATTACCTGCTAACACATAGAGATGGTTGCCTGGTTCTCCTTGCTTAATAACATAGTCACCATGTTGATAGTTTTTCTCATACATACACTCCACCATGTCTCTGATCTGCTGTGTTTCCAGTCGCTTCAGAAACTGGTTCTTATTGAAGGCCTCTGTTATAAGCTTCTTCACTCTGCCAATGGAAACAATACAGCCTGTTACACCGGAAAAGTGTCCTTCAGTGCACATAGCTTAACCCATAACTTTTGTCCAAAAACCTGAAACAAACTACCACTTAAGTTGGACATAGAGTTCAGAGGCTGAAGGCTAAGCAACTGCATTAGCTGTCATCATCACTTCAACAACAATAAACTCATTCATATGGTGTCTTCATTACAGGCCTGAAATGGGCACAATGAGGGTCACCTTGAAAGCAAATGCCCTCCGTCCAAAGCACACCTTAACTGACATGACATCGATTTGCACAATTTTCCAGACATTTCCAGACCCCCTTACATATGAAATGAGGAGCTTTATTCTTTTTGGTTTCCCCCTCAAAATTGGATTGTGTGGTGATGAATAGGAACTGGGGTTGTCTTTGCTCTTGAATCTTCAACTGTTTCAATTGTGTCCAATTCAAAATTAAAGACTTAATCTAAATAAAAAGATATAATTACAGTAATCAGCTGTATGGGTCATTATCAAACTCTACATTTAACATTAGAAAAATCTCCTCCAGAACTCCTCAACCCTTTCAAAGTGTCCCTTTACCCTGTTCTCCTCAACTCCTGCCTTTCTACCTTTCCTAATCTCCCTCACTGTCTCAGCCGTCTCTGCCTCCATTGCTCCTCTGACTCCTGTTTATTGCCTGGGCTCCTTGCCCCCTCAGACAGAATGATACCTTTATATATACGGAAACAATTTGAGCAGGGAAAATGGTGATTAACTGGCAGAAGATCCTAAATTGGCCAGTTCTATGGTCAGGGCTTACGGCCCACTTGACCTCCTCCCAGCTTTGTCACCTAAATCCATTATTGTAACCATGTCCTTCTCCCTCATTTTCTTGTCTAACATCCTCTTCCTCAATTCTATTCACGTCAATGTCTCCCTGTTGTTGTGATTTCCACATTCTCACCACTTTTTGGGTAAAGTGGTGCTTCAGCATTCCATACAGGATTTCTTGCTGATTATCTTACATCGATGGCCTTTAGTTATGCTCTCTCCCCACAAGAGGGAATATTAGGCAGAAATTTTTTGCCCTCGCCCCTGCTGGATTTGCGAGTGAGGAGCATTTAATCAGGCGGGAAGATGATAGGTCGGGTCACTGTTGCCATTCTGCCTTTCCCCTGATTAAATCCATGGTGGAAAAACACATGGATGGCTTTCTGGCCTTACTGCCAACTGAAGTCCTTAAGTGGACAATTAATGGTGACTTCGGATGCATCCTGCTACTTCTGGAATTATTACAGTGGCAGTGGGGAGCATGACATGTGGTTGTTCAGCATGTGATCAAGGGACCCAGCCTTAGGAAAGAGGATACCTGTTGACAGTCACCTCCTGCACTGTCCGCTGACACACCTTTCCTCTTCTACCATTACTTACAGTGGCTGTCATATCAGTAATACCCACTGCCTCCCCAATGGTGTTGCTGAGCACAGAAGAGATGGTACTTCCACTGATCTGTCAAGTGTTTCAATGGTACAGATGTGGCAGGTATTCCTGGAAGAAGGTGATGCAGGGTTCTTGACAGCTGAGAACCCATCACTTCCACAAAACTTTGCCCAGTTTCTATTTTATTCTAATTTGTGCATCGAATGTGGACTTTGCTGGCTAGGTCATGTATTGCCCATCTCTAATTGCCTTGGGAGATGGTCGGTGAGCTCACAGCCAGGAGGTCAGTGGGAGTCCCCAAAGCTTTGGGAAGCGAATGGCTCTACCAAGAGAAATGGGCACTGCCAACATAGTAGGAGAACATGACGTTACTTTGAAGTGGATGTGTCCTCTGAATCCCTTAGAAAATGAGTTCTATAGACATCTGAGAATGGAGTTTGTCGTGTTGGGGAAATCAAATGAAGCATTGCTGGCCTTCTGGTCTGAGGAACACAGGGAGGTTCACAACACTTATTTGGCCTCCATCAAAATCTCTCTTGGGATTCAGTGCCTGGTATTTCCACATTACCAACTCATATTTCATCCAGATGGCAAGATCAGCACAGTAGAACTAAAATCCAACTTCAGCACCAGAACGAAAAAGACACAAATAGTGTGAAATCATGCCTGTCACTCTCTTTTTAATAAATCACCTTAGAATAAAGAAACTGTTTTAAGTGAATCCAATAGAAAGGTTGTGTAAAAATGTATGAAGGTATGGGAGTCTCTGACATCCTACCACCTGTCCCTTGGGGAAATGTGCAGAAAGGACAGGGTGTGATAACAATGGAAATGAGTTGGGCCATGAATTGAGGGAGGAGATGGCCTAGTGGTATTATCGCTGGACTATTAATCCAGACACCCAGATAATGTTCTGGAGGTCCGGGTTCAAATCCTGCCATGGTGGATGGTGGAATTTGAATTCAATAAAAAATATCTGGAATTAAGAATCTAATGATGACCATGAATCCATTGTTGATTGTCAAGGAAAAACCCATCTGGGTCACTAATGTCCTTTAGGGAAGGAAAGTGCCATCCTTACCTGGTCTGGCCTACATGTGACTCTAGACCCACAGCAATGCGGTTGACTCTGAACTGCCCTCTGGGCAATTAGGGATGGGCAATAAATGCTGCCGAGCCAGCAACACCCTCATCCCATGAATGAATAAAGGAAAACAAAAACATACAATAAGAGGGAGGGGTTAGTGAGATGTACAAGTGTTTGGGAGGGAATGGGAAGGATATTGCTGAGGATTACATCTTCCCAGAAGCAACGAAAATATCTCTTATCCCTGGCACATTCCCCATAAATCCCTAATCCCACCCTAATTGCAACCAGTTTCATTCGAAAGAAAAATAGCCAGAAAGAAACAGAAGAGAGAACTGCAAGCCAACAACGAGTTGAGAATTAAAGAGAGAACCAAAGCAGGCAGAGAGAGGCAGGAACCTGAGAAAGAAAACAGCAGTTAATGGGTGTTTTTTTGGACTGGAGGAAGGTTTGTAGAGGGGTTCACCAGGGGTCAGTGTGGCACCTTTGCTCTGCCTGACGTAGATTAATGACTTGACCTTAGTGTATTGTACACCATTTCAAATTTGCAGATGCTATGAAACATGACAAGGGCTTTTAAAGGACATACATAGATTGGTGCAATCGGCAGACAAGAATTATGAAAATTATTGAAAAAATGCAAAGTGATTCAATTTGGCAGTAAGAAGATGAAGAGACATTATAAAATAAAGGGTGCAATTATAAAGTGGGTACAGGCAGAGGGGTCCTTGGGGATATATTTGCATTGATCATTGAAGGCGATATGTCTGGGCAGCATCTGTGAAGAGCGGTACAATTCTAAAACAGTCATACTGGACTTGAAACATTAACTCTGTTTCTCTTTGCACTGATGCTGCCAGGCCTGCTGAGTGCATCTAGCACTCTCTGTGTTTATTTCAGGTTTCCAGCATACACGGTATTTTATCTTTATTGAAGGTTGGGAGACGCTCATAAAGCCTGGAATATCCTCAACTTTATCGATAAGGGCATCGAGCATTAAAACAAAAAAGTTATATTAAACTTGTATAAAACAGTGGCCTGTCAACAATCAGAGTATGGCATCCAGTTCTGGGTGCCATATTTTAGGAAAGATTTGAGGGTGATAGAGAGGAGAAAAGAATCACAAGAATCATCTGGGGGTAGGCAAATTCAGATAAATTGGAGAAGTTGGGACTGTCTTCTTGAGAGAAGTTTGAGAGGAGATTGCATGGAAATATTCAAAATCATGATGGGTCTGGACAGAGTAAATAGGGAAAAGATTATTCCATTGGTGCAAGAATTAAGAACAAGAGTGCACAGAATTACAGCAATTGACAAAAGAAAATGGCAACATGAGATAAACCCTTTTCAAACAGGTAGAGATTAGGAACTGGAATGAACTGCCTGAAAGTGCAGTGAAGATGCATAGGTTGGGGTGTGGGGCAACTGAGGCTCTCAAAAATGGACTGGATTATTATTTGAAAAGGAGACAATTACAAGACCAAGGGAAATGGTATAAGGTCAATCGCTCTCTTGAAAAGTTAGCGCAGCTGCACCAAGCCAAGTGGCCTTTTTCCATCTTGTAACATTTTTAAAAACATTTCAAACTGATTAACCACACTGAGTCTTGAATCATACTGTTCCCATCTTGCATTTCCCGGCATAATTGTTACAAATGTGAACAGTCAAATGCAGTACATAATGCAGTCAGGCAACTACAGTAAATTCACAGCGCAGTAAACATCTCTGAGCATGGTGGTAAAACTAAACTTAAAATATATATCTATATCATGGATTACGGATAACATCAATTAGTGGTCATAGCATTATGTTAGTCATGCTATAAATTCCATTTGAACTGTGTTGTTGATTTTAAAATAGATATTGAATCCCTGTCTGCAGGTTTTATTTTTACGGACATTTTCCTATCATATTTCTGGCACCCGGAAACACCATAAGCAGACCTTACATTGCAGGGAAGCAAATTCCCAAATATCAAATACACTAATGGTGTGAATTTACTGTACTCAGTGACTGAGCTTCCATAGACCTCTGGGCTAAAGAACTTCAAACATTCACTACCCTCTGAATATAGTTGTTTCTCCTCATCTCAGTCTGAAATGGCTTGGCCCTCGTTCTGAGACTATGTCCTAGCTCACAATATATGTTTATTTTCTAGGGTCCTTCTTGAGATTTTCCCAAGACTGATTTTTGGTATTCAGGGGCCTCGGTTTCATTCTTACTAACAAATCTATCAGGTGATGTGTTCATGTTGTAACAATAGCTACAATAGTTGTGTTGATTTATGGTTTACTCGGACTCTCACACAAGCAGAATTAGAAGAGTTCATCAATATCCTCAATAGTTACCAACCACTTAAACATAAAACCATAAAACACCATGAATGCATTAATTTCTTGGACTCCACGATATATACACAGGCACAAAGCAACAGGCAGAGAGTAACAACTTTTGTCAATACACAGAAAGCCATCACTCTAAGCATATCTTCCACA